GATGAAGTCCCAATAGTTCATTTTTGCCCTTGCTTCCCTTGCCTTTGGCGATGTTTCTAGGAAGAAGTTGCTTCGGCTGAGGTCAAAGAGGTTGCTAGGCACCTCCTTAAGTTTTTTGAGCTCTTAGCAAAGGATCTTATAGCCACACTCATGATGTGATATCTACCCTGGGGCCATTTCATACTTGAGAATCTTCTGCCAGATGGAGAGACCAAAAATGCTCCAAACAATCTTACTTTTCAACTTAGCGTGTCTTGAACCCTTCATATTTACTTTAAATTCTGCTTACAAAATGAACAGTGCCTTCCTTAATTCATTTCTTTCTTTATGGAGCTTATCATGTGCAGCTAAATACACCAAGTGACACACTCATTATACTTCTTGGAAATCTCCTTAATCAGGTCCACAAGTTCACTAGGAAACTCTCCATCTTCTGAGTTACCACAGGTGACAGTGTTGCCAGTTGTTTCATGATTACAAAATATGACCATCCCAGCTTCCTATAGTAATTTCTTCACCATTCTTCCAATTTCCAGAGCAGTCTCCTTACTGCGCTTCCAGGTTCTGCCCAATTCCCAATCCCAAAACCATTTGGCCATATGTTTTAGCCTTTTTTTAAAAAAAAATTTCTCCCTCTTCCAGGTACTGCTTTCTATATCTATTATTTTTTTCTTTGTAATAACTACCCCAAACATAGTGACTTAAAAGAGTAATGATTAACTACTCATAATTAGTTCTCATAATTACTCATAGTTCTCATATTTCTATGAATCAGCTGAGTAGTCCCTCTACTACTTTTGCATGGACTCATTCATGTGGCTTATTCAGATAGAAGATCAACTGGAATGGAAGGTCCAAGATAGCCTTACTAATAGGTATGAAGTCTTGATGTGGCCATCAGCTGGGACATTTGGGATAGTTGGACTTCTCTGTCCAAGAGGTTTTGTATTTGGGGGCATCTACACAGAGTGTGTCAGTCTCAAGGCAACATTCCTAGATGAGGAAAAGAAGGTCCAAGTCTTCTTAAGGCCTGACTCACATGTCTCATAGCATCTACCATTCTACTTGTCAAGGAAGTTACCAGACCAGCTCAAGTTCAAGGGCTGGGGAATAGACTTCATCTATTGATGGGTAGTGGCAAACTCACATTGCAAAAGGGTATGTAGAGTGGAATAATGTATGGTGCCTACTTTTGCAAATAACAAATAATTTACATAAATAATAATCATAAGATTTCAGGAGAACCAATGAATTTTTTGGGAAAAAAGATGATAGGTCGGTAATAGAGAAAGCATAAACAACTTTTTGCCCATTCTGACTATAGCGGATTGTGGGGAAAAAGAGACAGATTTCCTGACTGTGAAGAGTAAACATTAAGAAGACAAAAAACTATTTCTGGTAATTCTAAGGGGAGAGAAATTAACAAAAGGAGATTTGGGAGGGTTATTAAAACTATTTCCTGAGGTGGTCAATTCATGTATAAAATGGTTAAGAGATTTCCAACAGGAATGGTTACAGTTCAGTAATTAGGGCTCCATTGTGGGAAAACAGCCTTAGTTATCAGGTTTTGTATGTGATTTAAAAAATCCTTCTTCAGTGTTTATGTGTGTTCTTGTACATTTCTATTCACTAATGATCCTGTGGCCCAAACAAGACTGATTCTAAAGGTGGTTCTCTGTGAAGGTATACTATTCATTTATTCATTTGTGTGTTTAGTTAGTTTATTCATCCATCCTCTAATTCATTCAATCAGCAAGTATTTATTGTGTATCTAATATGTGCCTGGCAGTCTGCTAGGCACTAGAGATCCAGGGTGAGCTCTCCTAGAACTGATGGTCCAGTGGGGGAGATAGACAACCAATCACCACAAACATAAAGATAGAATTAAGACTGTGACAAGAAGAGGTACCCAGAGTATGAAAACCTCCTGGAGGTTAGTGCTAGTCAAGGTGGTTGAGAAGCCTGGCTTGAGCAAGACAAGCAAGAGACCAGGTATAGAATAGAAGGAGTACTCACTGTCAGGTTCGTGGCCCTAGGGGCCTCAACTTTTATATCCAGTTGGAAATAAAACTTAGCCACTCTTTAGGCCTCATTGTGTAATCTCCCATGCACAGAAACTCAAAGAGCTGTAGAGGTCTGTTGGCTTAACTATTTTTGGTTCACAATGCTTGAAGGTGATATACTTTTAAATGGAGACTTGAGAAACACGAAAGAAGAAACAAAATAATGTAACAGGCAAACTCTGTACAGGCTTAATTAATTTGTGCATATGAACACATTGACTGCCTTAGGCAAAAGTGACCTTGCAGAACTGCCAGAATTCACCCTCACTAGGGATTGGTAAGTGGTTAGTGACAGTCTCGGTGGGAGAGCTGCACGAGAGAGCATGAATTTAGAGTTAGATGTGGGTTTACATCCCTGTTCTGCTTCTCACTAGGTGAGAAGGTCAATGTGTCCTTGAGAAGTGTGACCTTAAGAAGTTTGCTGAGTCTCTTTGAACCTCAGTTTTCTCATCTATAAAGTGTGTATGTTAACACCTACTTGGCTTATTACAGATTAAATGAGATAACATGGATGCTGTCACATAGTAAGTACTCATAAAATGGTAGGTATTATTTTAATCTGTATCTCCCAAAATATGTACTAGTTACTGTGATAGTAATAAATACTGTCTGGTTCCTATAGGGCACCACTCTCAGAGTAATGCGGTCACAATGACCGTACTGCCTCGTGGTCATCCTGCTGACCTGTGGTTGGTACTGGCCAAACATTGTCTTATACATCTCTCTGGACTTTGGGAAGGATCTATGTACCTTAAATTTGTATTTTTGTCCTGAAAAGAATTACTTCAGTTTGAGTGCTTCTGGGGAGACCAAATCTTTTTTTTTTTTAAGAAGTCCTTTCTCTTTTTCTTAAGAACATTCTTCCAGACTTTGGGCTGAATCCAGAGCTTCCCCTGGGCATGAAATAATGACAGCTAGAAAAAGTCTACATTTTTCCTGCTCTTTAAGAATGATTTACATATTTAACTTTGCCATCAACAACTGGGTTCATCTGAGAAAACTGACACCAAGGATGGTGTCCTTGGGTGTGAAGAGTTTATAGAGAACCAGCAAATGTAACTGGTTTTATCTTCATCTTCTGAGAACTGAGATTTTTCTAAATCAGAGTCAAAGCTGTTTAATTGGAATAGGGTCTTTCCAAGGTCTCTATTTGCAAACGGTTTATGCTACATCAGAGGAACTCTGTACACTTCCGGTGACACATAGTATCTAAACAAGTAAAAATTGATAACCAGAAAGTGGGAGTCTAAGTTACCAGTCACTATGCGTCTTATCACATTAAAAACAAACAGTGTGTGCCATTTCTGAAACTATTCCTGGGTCCTTAAGTTAAGACTTAGCTTACAGCATCATACAAATAAACATAAAGTAAAATAAACATTTTGTTCCTGCTTCCACCAATACCCAGGGCTTAAACTTTGAATCATCAGGCTTCTTTCTCTACCACCCCCCTTTATGTTTGCTGTATTCAAGTCTCCTCTTTTCCATCTCTCCAGACACCACCAAGCGAAGCATGAAATCCCCTCACTTCAGCCACGAATTTCCACCTTTCAGTGTTTACTCTCCCCATCCCACCTTCTCACTAGAGTACTCTTGAACATAGATCTCATTGTGCCATTCAATATTTCTAGTAGTGCCTCATTGGCCACAGTTAGAGTCCCCAAATATTTTATGGGAAGGAATACTTTCAGGGCACTTGGGTGCCTCAGTCAGTTAAGCATCTGCCTTCAGCTCAGGTCATGGTTCCAGAGTCCTGGGATCCAGCCCCGAGTCGGTCTCCCTGCTCAGTGTGGAGCTTGCTTCTCCCTCTACCCACCAACCCTGCTCGTGCCCTCTCTGTCTCTCTGTCAAATAAATAAAATCTTTTTTTTTTTTAAGAAAGGAATACTTTCTCCTCAGAGCCTTAAGAATGTGTAAGAAGAGCAAAATCCTATTGAACTTGCATAACTTTATAGATGAGGAAGATTTTTACATATATAATTTCTTTCAAACTTTATCATCATGAAATACTTCCCACATGCAAAGAAATTGAATAATATCATCAACCTCCTTGTATTTACCCTCCAGCTTAAGAAAGAGAGCGTCACAGATGCTATGGAAATTCCCTATGTACACACCCAGTCCTTCTGCCGCACTATTCTGACTGTGGGTTCAACACTTCCATGCATGTCTCTATAGGTTAGAGCAGGGATCATAAGTGTTTTCTATAAAGACCAGATAGTGAATATTTTAGGCTTTGCAGACCATGTGGACTGTGTTGAAACTGCTGAACTCTGCTATTGTTGTGTGAAGACAGCCATAGATATGTAAGCAGAAGGGCAAATTTGGTCTTTGGCAGGCTGGATTTGGCTCATGAATCAGAGTTTACTGACTCCTGTATTACAGCATCAATGATAATATGTAGCATTGTTTGTATATTTTTGAACTTACATACATTTTATCAAACTGCTTGTATTTTTCTGCAACCTGATTCTTTTGCTCAATGTGATGTTTTTAATTTTATCTATATGAATACATATAGTCCTAGTTCATTCACTTTAAGTGCTGCATAACACTTACGAGTATACTTATAGCATTATGCATATACTATTTCTTTATTGTATCCATTGTCTTGTTGATGGGCATTTATACTGTTTCCAATTTTTTACTATTGGAAACGATGCAGTGAGCATTTTTGTCCATGTCACCTATTCATATGTGGGAAGACTTACGTGGTACGGGGACCAGAGTGTTAAGTGACTAGTCCTCGGTCATACATGAAGCTATGAAAGGTCAGCACAGTTCTCTAACTTAATCTTCTCATGTCCCGTCCCCCATGACATTTCTACTACACCACAGCTGTTGTTTCTTTGTATGTGTGGCCCTGCCAGGTGTGATAGGGGGATTCAAAAGAAATATATGATATTTAATCATAAATAATTATGATTCCTGTCTTCTTCGAATTTACAATCTGGTGCTATAGTGGGGAAGATGACAGATGTAGTGAAATCATTAATTCCCACATGAGGAGGAGAAAGATAAATGACGGAGGAGCGTCATGGAGAAGTTGTGGCAGATATGGAAAAAAAAATCTATAGAGCTGAGAGCTCTAAGAGCACATCTGAGCGTGCAAGGAGACATAACTTGCCCACGAAAGGCAAAATTGCATATTATAAAGATGTAAATCTTCCTAGCTAAGTATATAGGTTTGGTGCATCTCAAACTCCTAAAGAAACTTTTTTTAAGAAACTTTTTTTAAAAAAAAGAATGTGACACAAGATGTGATGATTTATTACAGAGAATAAAAAGATGAGAATATGTTAGGAAATACTGAAAAAGAATGAACAATAATAGGGAAGGGTAATATTGGTACAAGATAGGTCAATGGGAAACTAAATTCAGTGTCATTAAAAGAAGGAGCATAAATCAGTGGGAAAAAGTATTCAACAAGCAATTCTGAGAAAACTCCCCTTTACCATACACTAAAAATAAAAAACAATAAAAATAGGCTTTAAAAAGTCTAATATATTTAACTACATACAATGGAAAAACTTTTCAGGTAAAGATAATTAAAAGAAAATAAAAATGTTTGTAGTAAATATTCCAGAACACCACTACATTCAATATGCAAAGAACTCTTCTAATTCAATAAAAGAATGAACACTTCATAGAAAAATGGCAGAGGACATAAACAGAAAATGGAAAGAAATTAGCACATATAGACAATAAAGATGTAAAAAAAATTTCAACTCTACTAGTATAATCAAAGAAATGCAATTTAATACAGTAAGATAGGATTTGTCACTTATGAAATTAGAGAAGATTGTTGAAAGTAATGCTAATGAAGGTGTTGTGAGAAAGGCACCTTTATTCCATGCTGGTGGAAGTATAAATTGAAAAAAAAATTACAGAATGCAATTTGGTAATCTTTAATGCTTTTTTTGTATTGTCTGAATTTTCTGCAGTGGGTCTTTTATTTTAAAGCTAGTTTCATTTAAAAATAAATTTTAACAACTTTTCAGGAAAACAAGGCATGAAGGTGGGGAAGTCTGTGCGCAAATTCAGATATTTTTCTTTCTTTGCTCTGATTCTAAACTTTGTGTATTAACACACACATGAATTCATCTGAATAGAAATGATGGCTTTCTGTGATGTGGGCTTTCGCTACTAACTCTGGAGAATTTTTAGGCTCTCTGTCTACAGTTTCTCAACATTCAGTATTTAAACAAAACCTTTTAACTGTATTTCTAAGGAGGTGTTCTTCTGGTACATGTGCTCAGTCATCTCTGGCTGTGGCCCGTGCCTGACAGTGGTGACTTCCTTTCTCATCTGCATGTTCTCTCATCCACAACGGACCACTTTCTCTAGCTGTGCTCTTTGACCCCAAGGAGAATGATCCATGCTATTCGTAGAGAAAGCCTAAGGGGCAATGTATAATTTTGATGAAATGGATACTGATAATAAGTAGTAATACACTCAATCCAGAATATTTTTTATTTAAATATTAAAAATCTTAAGCTCACTAGATGTTTTTTAAAATCCAAATTTATGTGCATGTTTTTGTTGTAGAAAAGTATGATATGATGATCAATAACAGACATTCAAGTAATAAAATATGCTATATCAGAGTAAACTTCTGCAGTGAAGTGGAATGAAATGTGAACTCACAGAGGAATAGGAATGATAAAATTTTTTTCCAGATGTTAAAGAACATTTTTTTGGTATTTCTTTGAAGGATGAGGGAGGCTATTAAGTTGCTGGGGTATTTAAGAGTGCATTGAAGAGTAGTTGAATAGATTTAAGAGTAATGTAACAGCATGTAAAAATGTCAATTTTTATATGTCAGAAGTTAATTTTTTTGCAAATTTTTAAGTGAAAAACTACAGATATAAATCCAAAAATGTGTTGATGGAGTACATTGTTTTTCAAACTTTTTGTAGGGAGTAAATGAACAAAACTATTCAAAGGCCACTGGTATAAAGAATACCCATTGCTTATTCTCAACCTATAAAATGACTCCTTATATGGAAGGGAGGATTTGAGGGGGAAAAAAAAGCCTCCAGAACTAAGGTGTGGGGTCTCCTGGGAGTTAGTCTTCCCTTGCAGTTCTTCCCCCAACAAGGGGGTGAAGAATATTGGAGAAAGGAGGACATAGAAGTAACCCTAATTAAAGAAATAATATATATGGAAACACTTGTCAAATACTTGGGACATGGTAGGTGCTCATTAAATGACAAGCCAAATAAGGCTAAACTCACCAATCCCATTAAGGAGCTGCTAAGAGGTAAAGATCTTACTATTATGAGATGTGTATTAGTGGGTTTACACTCCCAAAGCAATCATTACATTTATTCATAGTTTGCCTATAATATTACGTAGTTAAACATTTTTCTTCTGTTATTCGTTGAAGGCAGGGTTAACAAACTTTTTCTGCAAAGGGCTAGATAGTAAATGTTTTTGGCTTTGTGGGCCATATATTGTATATTCCAACTACCCACCTCTGCCATTGTTGGAGGAGAAAAGCCATAGATATTCCATAAACAAATGGGTGTGGCTGTGTGCCAATTACATTTTACGAACACTTACTTTTGAATTTCATGTAATTTTCACGTGTAGTCAAGTATACTTCTTTTGATTTTTTCTACCATTCTGAAGTGTAAAACCATTGTTAGCTTTCAGGCTACACAAAAACAGGTGGGTAGCCAGCTTTGGCCTGAAGGCAATAGGTTGCCAAACCCTGGTTTAACGTACGGTGTTTAAGGGCCCTTTATGCTAAGAATGGGTATAGTATCGGAAGGATACACAAGGAATTGGCCATTGTAGTTGTATTTTGGTAAGGGAAATGGGTAACAGAGCTGGAAGGAAGACTTATTTTTCAGTGTACTGTTTGATTTGCTTACCATGTGCTTACATTACCATTTCAAAAATTAAAGAGTTTCCTTTTCTTTAAGCCCCTTCAGGAATCATAAATCCATCAAACCTGGTTTGAGCAGATTCTGCCATGGATTCTGGATTCTGGAAGGCTTTCTTGTTAGCTAATCAGGGGCACCCACATAATAGATCTTCAGCCAGGGGTAATAACCCAAATGCTACAGAATTAGAGGAATTGGGCTTTGGGTGAGAGATTGATAAATTATGTGCTAATAGGAGAATCATATCCTTATCTTGTGCCACTTCTAGGAGGAGCATGCCAAATGGCAGGGAATTGGGCAGAACTAAGCAGAAAAATAATTAATACAGATTATTTGATTGAGCCAACATTTCTTGAGGGCCTATTATGTGCCAGGCACTTAAACTAAAGGTACCAAGTTTATATGAACATATAAAGGAAAATACAAGAATCCAAAATGAAGATGAGTATACACGGAAAATATTACAGAGCTATCATATGGTATGGAAGTATGAGGAAGCTTGATGAACATGACTAAAGATTAAAAAAGACAAATGTTAGAAAAAGTTAGCACCGAAGGAAACCCAAAGGAAGAGTCAAACTACCAAAATCTCCTATTTTTTTTTCTTAAAGACCAAAGGATATGGATCTTATATCACAGAGTATACATTTGGATTGAATATTAGGAAAAATTCCTGACTCTGTACATTGTGGGTTCCTGGAAATTATTATTATGGTAAACTGTGGAATTTCCTATTCCAGAGGAGGAACTCTATCTAGAATAGTAGTTGTCTGAATTTTGGGGAGGCTTTTCAACCCATTTATTATACAATATGCAGACATGTATACACAATTATTATACATAATTGATATATTAATATATACACAGTGAATATATGCCTGTATAATTCATGTACACGTATTGAACGTTGAATTTCCCTAGTCTGCAACTAGCTTGTGAGTATGAATGAAGTCTCATTAACAGTAACAACTCAACTTTCACTGGTTTATTCCTCAGGTCCTTTAGCTTTTCTGTCAAAGTCGAAGTATTTCAGAAGTGCCTTAGGGTCTCCTCATGTTTGTTCATGATCAGGTTTGTTCTGGCTGCTGCTTCCATTACCTTTTGTGTCCATGAGTGAGAACAGCGCCAGACCAGTGGTCACGATTCCTCTGCTTCTCCGAGGGTTATGGTGATACCCAGCATGCTGCTACTATTACACAATTGCCCCCAAAAAGGCCCTGGTCCTCTTGGGGTCAAAGTTCCACTGTGATATGTGGCAGAGTAGTGTGAGCACGAGGGTGGCGCTGAAATGAGTCCTCTCTCCTACTTGTTGGAAGTATTCTGTTGGAAGTGTCTACCTCTACTTTATACATCAATGCTTCTAGATTTCATTTTTATTTATCGCCTTCCCTCTCACCTTATGGTGGCAGGAAAGCCTTTTGAATCCAGTATGAGTTGGCCAAACGCTGTACTACAGTGAGAATTACACATTTCTCAAAGAAATTTTGCTTTAGGGTGAAGGTCATGGTTTTTGGCTCCACCTGACTTTAGAATGGGTTTTTTCCCAACAGGCCCCTTGGCTTCCTGGGGAATAGATTCTGGTAGGGGCATGCCATTGGTTGACTAGATGGACCCAGATTTGTCTGCATTCCCACAGTGGGCATGGTTTGTATCCTGTAGCAGGAGGTTCTCTCTCTTTCTTGCCCCTTCAACCACCCACTCTCTGGTGTCTTCTCTTCAATTCAGATGTACCCTAGATTTGACCATCTTTAGAAATTGCCCTTGAAACTACATCCTTCATCAGCTACTTCCCTATTTTCACTCCTTTTCACACCCAAACCTCTCTGTTAGAGCATCCTGATCTTAGGCTTCATCAACAGATTCATGATAATCTGTAATCACCTGTGTATACATGTGATTATTTTTTAATGTCTCTCTTCTTCATTAAACTTGATGTCATTGGTCACGGACACTTCTTTATCCTTTTACTGTCTTATCTCCAAAGATCCAGCCCAGAGCCTAGTGCAGAATAAGTTCCCAATAAATGCTTTCTCAAAGCATGAATAAAGGAATGGATGCAGCAGCATAGTATGGTAGACTACCTTATCAGCAGCCCAGTATATCTGAAACTCACTTCTGCTTGAACTGGAACATTCTGCTGAGTGAAAGAGAAATAAATAAAGACACAAATAGTAGGGACATTCTAATGAAATACATATTTGTCCAATAGAAGCCCTATATTCTCTTCCTGAATAGCAAATATAAATAGTTATTTATTTGTAGACAAAATGATTTATTGGTAGAGATAAGATAAAAAGGTTTGAAAATCATCCTCAGAAAACAGACTTGGAAAAGAGATTCTGATAGCACAACTTTTCATTACTTGACCTTTCAAATTACCTCTTCAGGAAAGTAGGAGACATATTGGGAGGAAGGAAGGCAGGAGGAAAAGAAGACCTAAAAATATAACTAAAAGTGGACATTGCTTTTCTTGGGCTCTTGGATTCATTCTGGACATTTCCTCAGGATGAAACTTCAGACACTTTGGTGAGATTTACCATTATTTTTCTTTACACCATAATGTTTTTTTTAGCCCACGTAAATATAAGACCATGGTAGACCCTGAGAGTGAAAATGCAAGCCCTTGAAATTTTCTCTAAAAAGCAAAAATTAAGATCTGAGAGAACACTTTCTGAATTTTTGATTTGCTGACATAGTGCCTACTCAAGAAGATTCCAGCAGAAAGTGGTCTGAAATCACTTTTGTGTCTTTGTAAATACCTGCTCAACTTTGGAATAAGGCTTAAGATAATAAGTCATCGATTTTTCCCATTTTTAATCAATGCCTTTCTATTTGTTTCTATTTTTTCTATTTGTAAAAGAAATAAAGACATATCCAAAATATCATCAAATCTTGCCCAAATTTCTCAAGTGCTGAAATTTAAATGAATACATATGGTGTTTCCCAGATACTTTAGAGAGTGTCTCTTTTGAAAGCACATATCCTGGACATTTATGAGTCCAGATGAGGTGTAAAAATGATAAATATTGAAAACAGATATGTACAGAAAGGTTATGGCAAAATGTCTACAAAGGGATCCATTTGCTATTTTGTGAATAGGCTTCATCCCTCCTTCCCTCTCTCTCTTAACCAACTATCTAAACTGCCAACCCTTCCTCAAACTCTCTACTTATTTATTTGTCTTTCAGATTTTTTTTTCCTTTTTTTGAAGACCATCATAACGAAGGGGCATTCTCAAATAGAACAGTTTGGATGGGATCAAGAATGAATCTCATCGAACACTCCCACTTACCTGTCACAGAAGAATTTTCTCTTTCTGACAATTTATTTGGTAAGTTGTCAGGTTCATTTGAATACAAGTAAAAACAAAGTGCAACTTGGAAATATAGGAGAAAAAAGCCTAGATGATGAATCCAACAGAGCCTGGCAAAAGTTTTTGTTCCTTCTAAGTACTCAATAAACATTAGCTACTATGCAAGGTTGGAGGTAGGTCAGACCTTGGATTTATTGAACCTAATAGTCTTCTTTTTTATAGATGAGGACTGTAAGACTGAGAGCTTTGTGACTTGTCCAAGGCCACGAGGCTAGATAATTAACAGAGCTGGGAGTAGAAATGGATTCCTAGTACAGGCTAATTCTGATATTATTATAGCATGTACTAAAGTATGAAATCATACTTCTTATGGTTTAATATTATACCTATAAAAGGCTGAGGTTACTTAGATTATAGTTTCCACTATTCATCTTGTGCTGGGGGATATATGGCACAATGTCATGATTAGTCATTTAAATTGGATTGAGGACAAACTGTTCTAAGTTGTTTTCAGTAGATCTGTAACTAGATGATACCATAAAATGATATATTGCTTCACTTTATGCATTTATGAAAAAACTGTCATTTTAAAGAGTTTCAGTTGGGAACATCAGCAAAGACTGAACAGCAGCAATATTTGGGATGAGGTAGGGAAGCCTTCTGCCACTTGTAAAATAATTCTCTTCTGTATAATAGCCCTGCTGGGAAACTTAGATGCTCCCAGTTTTCCACTCTACATTAATGCATGGACCATGGTAGACTATGATAGTGAAAATGCAAACTCCACAAAATTCAATGTTTGAAGGCATGATCCCCTGTTTGGTTACTGACATCCTTGAAAGAGATTAATTAATAGCTTATGCTATTACCTACTAGTCATTAGCATCTTAGTGTGTAATGGTTTAGTGGGTCATTTCCAAGGAGAGGTCTTTATTAGTATTGCCTGTTTACATATCTACCTGCCCCATGCAGTATAAGAGCATTTAAGGGCAGTGACCATATTTTATTAACCCTAGTTTGCATTTGATAAATAAGAATCAAATAATAAATAAAGGAAAGGAGAAAAGAAGTTTAGGGGGAAAAAGAGATATTTATCAGTAACTCTCAGAGAGACCAAAGGCAGTAGTAATTATTTATGAAATGCCAGTTTTCAGACATACTTGTTGTCTTATTTCTTCCATTTGGCTTTTCTTCATCATGTGTGTGCATTCAAGGCCAATGGGCCCTATCTCCCTATCCAGCTACCTGACCATTTGCTTCTGGTCTACCCTTCTTCTATTAGTCCTTAAAATAGTCAGTGCATAGACATCTTCATAATTTTTGTCTACTAATCAAAGCTCACAGGATAATTAGAACTGTAAGTGCCTATCATAGATTAAGGAAAATTTCACCTAAGATTATTTTTTCACCTCACTGAAATTTTATGATTACATGGTAAGATCTCTAAGCAAGCACATTAGATTGAAGGCTGACCTCATCAAACATGAGGTGAAAAAGATGTGAGCAGATAGAAAAAAGTTGGGGGGTGCTGTTAAGTTAGAAGCATCTGGGAATGATTGCTTAAGGAGGCACTGTGACTCATGCTTTCAGTGTTGCTTTTCCTTCAGCTCTCCTTTGCTAGACCACGTTCTCATCTTGTTTCCTAACACTGTCATTAAGATTTCTGAAAGTACAAGCTGCATGAGCTGCAAGCACAGCTGTTATTCCTGGCTGGAGCAGTTTCCTCAAATCTTCATCTGGTCTTCTCTCCTGGTAAACTAATATCCGGTGTGGCCATTGGGACACATTTTCCTTTTCTGCACTAAGTTCTAGAGCTATCTCTAAGCATTTTTATTACATCTCTTTCCTCCCATGCCCTCAGCCTCACTCTACTTAACAAACTTGAGCTAAAGGTATGCCAAAGGGGTGGATGAAGCCTTGCATTTTAATTTCCTTATTCCTCCTCCCCATCTTCTTTTGTGTCCTGATGACACTGATGGATTCTTTGGGCTTCCCACCCTAAGCTTAGGATGCAGAGCCCCAGGGAAAACACTGTGGCCCATGGATGAGTAACTGGTAGTGCCTAACTCACATTCCTGGTTTTTGAGATATGCCAGAGACTCGCAAGTGCTAACCCATGGGCTCAACTAGCGGAGAGTGGAGTTCTTTTCCAATGGTCTGTGTAATGAATAACAGCTATCATGTTGTTACAGCACAGGAGAGTGAGGCTTATGGTAGAGAATATGGATAGCTATCATGTCTTTACCCAAACGTTGAGTAACAACTATACACTGGTCATTGGAATAAAGCAGGGAGTAAGACAGGCAAGATCCTGCTCTCCCAGGAATCTCAGATCTGGTAAACCTTGTTAGTGGAGTTAAGAAATGGTAGGATGTAGAGAACTATCGACAGAGACCTTTTTTAAGGCAAAATGGACTACTACTTCTTTTGATAAGGCATGAATAGTTTGGAAAAAGCATGGAGGGAGATGAAGAATTATAGACAAGTGACCAGCTGATGGGCAACCCCATTGCCATCCAGGGTCTTACTCTCAACCTTGCAGGCCAAGAAACAGATCTCAAGGACGTTCAGAATAACTAGGCTGAGAAAGGTTGACTATAAAACCAGGTTGCAAACTTATACATCTTCAGGAATAAAAAAAAAAATGTGATAATGGTAACAGCTACTATTTCTTGAGTGCTTTCTACATGACGGATATCATGCTTAAATACATTTTAGATTTGTTAGCAGACTTCCTGCATTCAAGTTCATCTTTGTCATTTATAGGTATGAGGTCTTAGGCAAATGCCTCAACTTTATGCAAGTGACTTGCTTTATTTAATCAAGTTCTCAGAAGAATGCCTGGCACATCATAAGTGCTCTATAACTATCTGTCATTGATTAATTCTCACAACACTCCTATGAGGTACATATCATTATTATTCCCCTTTTACTGGTAAGAAAGCGGAGATTTAAAGATGTTCAATAATATGCTTAAGGTTCCATAGGTAATAAGTGGCATCCAGAATATAATCAGGATAAGCAATTAGAATTGGATGGTTAAGGAACAAGGCAAAGAGAACACTTCACCTTCTCAGTGGAGAAAGACTTTCCAATGAGATTACATCACTCAAAGTCTATTGACCAACTCTCTTCTCAAGGATAGTTTTCAGAAAAGCATTTGCTCTGGGACTTCCCTTTTTTCATGGGTTCATAGCTGATGCTCCCACATACCATGAATGACATGTCATTCACATTGCTCCCAAGTACCATATGCAACAGGACCAATAGAACTTTCCATGATGATTTTTTTTAACATATAATGTATTATTTGTTTCAGAGGTACAGGTCTGTGATTCATCAGTCTTACACAATTCACAGCGCTCAAAAAGAAAAAAAACTTTCCATGATGATGAAATATTCTAGATCTACTTTGTCCAATGCAGTAGCCACTATCCACATGTGGCTATCGAACACTTAAAATAAAACTAGCATAACTGAGGAATTTATTCTCATTTAATTAAATTAATTTAAATTTAAGTAGCCACATATGGCTAGTGGCTAGTATTTCAGTGCAAAGAATGGCAGGGGAAAAATGTATTTTTAGAAAAAAAAATAGCATGAGGCAGTTGGGGCATCACTAAGAGAGAAGCAAAGGGGTCCAGTCAGTCTTATGACAATATCCTGTGTGAATTTCACTCAGCAACAACAGTTTCCTGGATCAGCTAAATTGTCCTATTCATTTCCTTGTTAGTATAGCAGTTTCTGAGGGCAAGAGGCCCATTTGTTTGACCATTGAGAAAGTCAGTAGAGAATTCTTTTTTAAAAAATAATAAGATTTATTGGGGCACCTGGGTGGCTCAGTGAGTTAAACGTCTGCCTTTGGCTCAGGTCATGATCCTGGGGTCCTGGAATTGAGCCCCACATTGGGCTCCTTGATCAGCAGGGAGCCTGCTTCTCCCTCTCCCTCTGCCTGCTGCTCCCCCTGCTTGTGCTCTCTCTCTCTGTCAAATAAATAAATAAAATCTTTAAAAAAATAAGATAGAAGATTCAGAGATAGTTTGCCCTGGTTTACATCCTCTGGGTAGCTCTCCCACCCACGGTCCTCCCAAGGCAATGATAGCTCTGGGGTTGTGAGGAGAAGAGAATGAGGTCAGAAGTAGACTGAGGATTGAGAATAGCTTTGCAAACTGTAAAACTTAATTTGGCAATCCAAACTGAGACATAACCATGGACCATCACTCTTTTCCTCTTTCGTGGCAATGAGGGCAAGTGTCCCTAAGTGTTTCAACCACGGGGTTTGAGTCAGAAGACCTGGGTTAAAGTCCTAACTTAATGCCTCACTAATTGCGTGACTTTAGACAAATCACTTAGCGTCCTGCTTTGCCTTGTAGAGTCTGTAAAATACAGTAGAAGATAGGGCATCATAAATAATACCTTCCTCAGAGGATGCAAGTAGGATCAAATGATGTAATGCATATGGAACCACTTGTAAACGTGTGAAGGCTATAGAAATGTCTTGGCAATGATGATTGCATTTATATAGATCACTTTTGCCTCTCAAACTGCTTATTTATTGTGTTTTTATCTTCACAACACATCTATGAGGGAAGTAGGGCAGGAATTATTATCTATGTTTTACCATCTGTTAATGTAGACAAATGAGGCCCACAGAAGCTGAGAGACTGACCTAAGGTTATACGGGACGTCTGGTTGCATTAAGTGTGAGCTTAACCCTGGGCCTACTGAATCCTATTCTAAAGTCCTTTCTTCCAAAAAATAACCAACAATCATAGGCTTGATATCCACAGGTTATGCTGCAGAAATTATTCCTACTCAGTAAGCAAGCTGCCCTACAACCTGAGTCCAAAGCCAAATAATCATAACATCAATGTAATGATGGTGTGTAGCCACCCACTGTGCTAAGCATTTTATAAACATTATCTTATTTAATGCTCCTAGTAACTCTATGAGGCTGTATGGTTATCAGCCCCATTTTACAGGTGAGGAAATGGAGAAAGAAAATGGTTCAGGAATTTGTCCATGTCCACAGAGCTAGTGAGTACCAAGGGAGTCTCGCTGTATTAGTTTGCTGAGGAGCCTGTAATGAAGGATCAGACTGGGTGGCTTAAAGAACAGAAATGGATTGTTTCACTGTTCTTCACGCTAGAAGTCCAAAATCAAGAGGTTAGCAGGTTGATTCCTTCTGAAGGCTGTGAGGGAAGTGTCTATTCCTGATCCTCTCCTTGGCTTGTAGATGACTGCCTTTTCCCTGTATCTCTTCATACTGTCTTCTCTTTATGTCTGTCTGTCTCAGTGTATACATTTCCCATTGGTATAACGACACCAGTTATATGGGATTAGAGACCACCCTCATGACCTCGTTTTAACTTGATTGCCTCTATAAAAACCCTTTCTCCAAATAATGTCACATGCTGAGGTCTGTGGGTTAGAAGTTCAACATACCAATTTGGAGGAAGGGGACAGAATTCCACTAACATTGGATATAAACCCAGATCATTTGGCCTTATACTGTTAAGCATTATGCTTTAATGCTTCCTGACTTAACAAAATTATATTATTCTGTAGCCTTTTGATAGGAACAAATTTCGAGACACAGAGCATGTCACTTGACCCCAAATCCACTTTTAGAGCCACTGAACAGAAACCTACTCTACATATTAAGTTCTAAAACTGGAAAGTGCTCCCCAAAAATATTTAGCTAAGAGACTGGTTTCCAGCTTACTAAGCAACTTGGCATCGAGGACTTTTCTCATAAACATTTACAAATATTCTTCTCTGTAATGAAGTTAATCAGTAAACCATACAACCTCTGGCCTCTATTGCTCCTTACCTAGTCTCATTTTTAGTTGCTGTGAGTAAGTAAGAATGGTAATGCAGTTTCAGGGGTTAGAAAATCCAATTCAAAGTAGTCCTTGCCATAGACACACATCATCAGGATTTATCATGGAAATGATGAGCATGAAGCCTGATAAAGGTAAGACACTATTCACAGGGGCTCTTGGCCGAACCTTTGCAACTGGACTGAGGAAGTGGAGGGCTTTTGTTTGAGATTTTAGCAACAGATCTCTGTCAAAGATGTCTCAGTCAGATCCGGGAGACTGGGGTGAGAAGTTGGGGTGGGGTAATTTTTGAGGATTCGAGGCAGGTGAGTATCTCATTGAGATAAAATCTAAGTATGTTTTCCCTAAAATTGTTCATTGAATATTATGTGAAATTAGCAAGATTTTTTCAAGTTAAACACTAGGCAGTTCTAACATTAATGCCTGTAGACACTTGAAAAAGCACTTTGAAGTACGTTACTTAATGCAGTGTTTTAAAAATGGTATGTTTCAGATCCTAGTGGGTCATGAAGTCTATTTGTGGCTTATGACCACCATTGAAAACAAACAGAATAGAATAGAATAGAATAGAATAGAATAGAATAGAATAGAACAGAACAGAACAGAACAGAATAGAATAGAATAGAATAGAATAGAATAG